GCTTGAGCAAATCATAAACTAATTTAAATTTTTTTTTATATTTTAACCTAAATATTTTACATTCAATATTTTAATATAGTTTCTTGTTCAGTGCTTCTAGAAACAGTCTGTTGATTATTAGTAATGATAACCGAATTAATACTCAACCTTTAGTAAATATTGTATGTTTTAGATGCCCACAGTGTAAGTGTCGACATCTGATCGGTAAAACATCACTAAAAAGTGAGTCATGTATTTACTGCTGGTCACAAATCAGTTTATTTAATCTGTTAAACACACAAAAAAATATATTTTAAAGAATGTTGGAAACAATTGACCGCCATAGTATCATGGAAGTGCATGGTTACAGGTTTCCAACATTCTTCAAAATATCTTCTTTTGTGTTCAGCAAAAAGCTCAGGTTGAGCTAATCATGTGAGAATTTTCATGTTTGAGTAAACTATCCCTTTAACTTGGAATTTGCTGATTTCCAGGTGAATATTTGAAGCTTAATATCTTAATATTTCAGTTAATGTGTTTTCATTTGCTTACATTTACCAGCCTGATCAACACCTGAGCAGCAAAAACATCACTAAAAGGTGTAAAGAGTATGTTTTGTCAGTAGCAAATCAGTTTGAGCTGTTTTTTTTTTCTGTTAAACACAAAAGAAGATATTTTGAAGAATGTTTCAAATTGACCGCCATAGTATTTGTTTTTGCTACATTGGAAGTCAATGGTTACAGGTTTCCAACATTCTTCAAAACATCTTCTTTAGACACAACAACTCAAGGTGAGCAAATCATGTCAGAATTTCCATTGGAATTTGCTACTGTATTTTTATGTGCTTACATTAAATCACAGTTGCTTGTTCTTCCCGAACACTTAAAGTCTGCTGATTACTAACATTATTAACTCAATGCATATTAATCATATTGAAAATATTGTATATTTCTGGTGCTTAAAGTGTCAACACCTGCTCCGTAAAAAAAAAAAGGTGCATCGAGTATGTTTTGTCGGTCACAATTCCCAAGTTAAAATTAGTTGACAGATTTACTCACTAAGAATAAACAGTAACACTTTAGTTAAAGTAACAATTCACACCATTTACTACTGGCTTATTACTTACCTATTATTAATATATTGACTGTTTATGAGCACTTATAAAGTATGATCCTGTTTTACATCCCTAATCCTAGCCACTACCCAAAGCTCAACTAATACCTTACTGACTATAAGGTAACTAGTAGTTTATTGAGCTACAATTCTTAGATAATGGTTTGTTAATAGCTTGAATAAAATATAAATTACAATATAAAGTAATTCATTTTCCTTCGGCATAGTCCCTAATTTATCAGGGCTCGCCACTGCAGAATGACCCGCCAACTATTCCAGCATTGGTTTCACACAGCGGATACCCTTCCAGCTGCAACCCAGCACTGGGAAACACCCTTAAACACACATTCCCACACACACTCATACGCTACAACCAATTTAGCACCATGTAAAGTGTGTTTAAAGTATATCACATATTTATATGTCAGGCTAAAAAAACTGGTCATGTGACCTCAAACGACCAGCTCCATGTAGGATGAAGCAACATTATTCAACAGTGCTGTTCATTAGTTTGAGGATAGATCATATTAAATGAGGAGAAGAAAACGTTTTGCTGCATTTATCACACACGCATCAGAGCTTTTCCCAGAAGTGCGCAGCGTCCATTGGGTCGACCACGGCGCGGGTCACCTCTGGAGTTCTGACTGTAATGAAATCATGGTGTATTACATGCAGATCAAACGAGCGCTCGCTTTTGTCCAAGACGAGGGCGGCGTGCATGTTTCGAGTTTGCGGTTGAGCAGATGTATTCTGCTGTACCTCAATGTCATCATCTATAAGATTTTCCATCGCCGTCCTGAGAGGAAAACACGACTGGTCTGTCCGCCGGAGAGCGAGATCTCATCCGCCGCTATTCAGGATGACAGATAAACAGTGTAACAGACATAGAGTCCAGGGGCCTCCTGGGAAATGTTCATTTGTTTTTAAATATTTCTCAAGTGACGTTTAATCGAGCGAGGAAATTTTAACAGTATTTCCTATAATATTTTTTCTTCTGGAGAAAGTCTGATTTGTTTTATTTCGGCTAGAATAAAAGCAGTTTTTAATTGTTTTAAACCCATTTTAAGGTCATTATTATTCGCCCCCTTAAGTAATATTAGTGTTGGATTGTCTCCAGAACAAACCACTGTTATACAATGACTTGCCTAATTACCCTAACTTTACCCTAATTACCCTAGTGAAGCCTTTACATGTCACTTTAAGCTGAATACTAGTGTATATCGAGTCTAATATTATGTGCTGTCATCATGACAAAGAGAAAATAAATCAGCTATTAGAAAGTAGAAATTAAAACTATTGTTTACAAATGTGTTGAAAAAAGAGGGGGCTAAAAAAAAAATCAGGATAAAAATTCAGCTAATACATACACAACCAAATCCAACATCGTACAAGGTGTCCTTACAACACACGACGTGACAAGATTCCAGCTACAAGCAATTTGCCTGCATCAAAAGTACCGTGACACGACAGAAACATTTAAACAGCAGCCACTGCACTCAATGAAATTAAATGCTAACGGTTCTTAATCTAATTAATGCACATTAATCCTCTTTAACATTATTAATAGGCTACTGAGTGACTGATGTTGTTGGTTTGCACTGAGGCCGTACTCACACTATGCACAGTTGCCTCGAACCGGGCCAAAGCATGCATGTCCTCCCTCCCGTCTCCCCCGATGGCCCGCGCTCACACTACAATCAGGCCTGGGCACGCTTACGTCATCGCTGCTGCGCTGTTCAGTGAGAAGCGCTCTCGCTCAGCACAGTGGAGATTTCTCTAGTTATATCGTGTCAGTGGTTTGATATGCAGTGACATGCAGTCAAATATTTCACCAAACAGTCTTTAAGGATGCGGTGACCGCAGTCAGATATTTCGCTGAACAGATCTGCCACTTTTGGCGCTCATAAACAATCATAAAGCCCTCGTGCTGCAGGAATGAGGAGGTCTGCTGAAGGTGCAGCTGTGGTGCAGTGAGGGGTTTGCGTCTTTAATAAACTACGGCAGTTTGCTTTCACTCAACAGTAAGAATGATTAATAAATCCATATGAAACAGCCCTGTAAAAGTCACGTCTCGCTTTCAGTTTCAGGCTCAGATGTGTTTTGCACTCACACTGTACCGCGCCAAAGCCCAAGTGAACCGCGCTCAGGCACCCCTCTTCCAACCGGGCCAGGGCCAGCCAAGTGAACCATGCCTGAGCCTGATTCAGCGCACTCACACTTCTCAAACCATCCGGGAAATGGGCCTGGGCACGGTTCGGATAGTATCCGCTTGTTAAGTGGTGACGTGTTTGTGACGTATGTAATGCTGTTTCCGAGTCCAAGCCGCCATTCATTTGAGTTGAGAAATCATTCATATTTAATTTATATCACACATTAAAGTAAACTTTATATATAGTCATAGTGTACGACACAATCTCTGGGCTTGCTTCATAACAAATACAACATTTTTACAATTTATAAAAAAATGAATCACTTTCTGGCCATCGGACATTAGACATGGACATATATTTATTGTGATCGTGACTTTCGAAAGTATTAAATCGCTTTGTAAACGTTTATTATTACTAAAAAGTGTCTAAAAAAGTAACTAAAAACTTACTTAAAGTGTCAACACCTGCTCCGTAACAAAAAAGGTGTAGAGTATGTTTTGTCGGTCACAATTACCAAGTTAAAATTAGTTGACAGATTTACTCACTAAGAATAAACGGTAACACTTCAGTTAAAGTAACAATTCACACCATTTACTACTGGCTTATTACTTACCTATTATTAATATATTGACTGTTTATGAGCACTTATAAAGTATGATCCTGTTTTACATCCCTAATCCTAGCCAGTACCCAAAGCTCAACTAATACCTTACTGACTATAAGGTAACTAGTAGTTTATTGAGCTACAATTCTTAGATAATGGTTTGTTAATAGCTTGAATAAAATATAAATTACAATATAAATTAATTCATTTTCCTTCAGCATAGTCCCTAATTTATCAGGGCTCGCCGCTGCAGAATGACCCGCCAACTATTCCAGCATTGGTTTCACACAGCGGATACCCTTCCAGCTGCAACCCAGCACTGGGAAACACCCTTAAAGACACATTTCCACACACACTCATACGCTACAACCAATTTAGCACCATATAAAGTGTGTTTAAAGTATATCACATATTTATATGTCAGGCTAAAAAAACTGGTCATGTGACCTCAAACGACCAGCTCCATGTAGGATGAAGCAACATTATTCAACAGTGCTGTTCATTAGTTTGAGGATAGATCATATTAAATGAGGAGAAGAAAACGATTTGCTGCATTTATCATTGATTTTTTTTTGATCAGTCTCCCCATTCAGTTGAATATTGCGCTTGGACCCGGAAGCCGCTCCGCGTGACGTCACACTTAACAAGCGGATTGTGCGAGTACGCCCTGAATCTGCACAGTTCTGACTTTCATTTTCAAAGCGTCTGCTAGTTATTTTAGTTTCAAGATCTGAGGTAAACGATCTGCTGCTGTTTTCAGTAGTTTGTAATAAATGTCATGTTACAAAAATTATCTAAACTCACTATTATCACTGAATAAAGCCCATAATCAGCACCCGAGGGGATCTTTGTGTTAATAGTTTATGCTGTTGTTTATTTGTGGCGTAGAAAGCATTTCTAAAATAGAAATTTTGCACGTTGGTTGGGACAAAAACTCCTTTAAAATTGTAATATATAGCTTTTATTTGTGACGGATGCTGTTGGGACACGGTGTTAGAGCACAATGGTTTTTGTACCTGACTTGTGTCCTCACGTCCTCGGGAGTTCGTTCTTGCAAGTCTGAACTTCCAAGGACGCAAGAGAACCAGCCCGTTTAAGGATCTTCAAGCCAAATGCATAACAGAATCTGACGTATGTTGTTTTATCTGTTGAAGATGACCTAACGGGACTGTACCCGGAGCAGTTCGAGGACGTAATGGACTTCATCGAAGCCACTCTGGGCCGCCTGCGCAGATCCTCAGACGTAGAACCTCAGATGAAGCGGGACAGGGTCCGACAGAAAGCAGCAGCAAACACGGAGAAATACGGAGGACGGGGACGAGGAGAGCGCAAGAGGAGCCGCGGACGGGCCCGGAGCAGAGACGACCGGGTCAAAGGTCAAGGGCGCGGCTGCCTACTTAAAGAGATCCATCTGAACGTCACAGACCTGGACTTGGGTTACAGGACCAAAGAGGAGCTGATCTTCCGCTACTGCAGCGGCCCGTGTCACGATGCCGAGACCAACTACGACAAGATCCTCAACAATCTCACCCACAACAAGAAGCTAGACAAGGACACGCCGTCCCGAACCTGCTGCCGGCCCATCGCATTCGACGACGACATCTCTTTTCTGGACGACAGCTTGGAGTATCACACGCTGAAGAAGCATTCCGCTAAAAAGTGTGCTTGCGTTTGACCGCACAGGAACAGGACTCTCTCTAGAAGAGAGCAGACGAGGGTGTTTTCAGTATTCACTTTGTTACCGAACCACGAGCATTCATACAGCAACAAACACCTGTTGTTTTGGTGGAATAAGGAAGCTTCAGTGGGATTATAATGTCAGAGAGACGCCGCCACGATGACAGCAGACTGCAAATCTTTAATATCCAGAAAGCTATCATTATATATAAATAGTATATATGAAAATGTATTTATTGAGATTTAATTAAGTTATTGTTATTTATTGCAATCCATTGTATTAGAGTGTTTGTTTCTCTTATTTATTTGAGGAGGTTTTTTTTTTGTTTTTTTGGATTGTTGTTCTCTATCTTGGATGGTGCCAAATCGGAGCAGGTGTTTTTAAAGGAGCCGCTCGCTGTTGGTCATTTACTCAGCATCATGTTGTTTCAGCATCGTGGCATGTGGTTTAGTTTTTTCTGTCAAATGCAAAATGAGATTTGGGGCTCAAGATGAGGGCGTAGACACATTACAAAACCCTTGACAAAATATACAGTTGAAGTCAGAATTATTAGCCCCCCTGAATTATTAGCGCCCCTGTTTATTCTTTTCCCCAATTTCTGTTTAATGGAGGGAAGATTGTTTCAGCACATTTCTGAGCATAATAGTTTTAATAACTCATCTCTAATAACTGATTTATTTTATCTTTGTCATGATGACAGTAAATAATATTAGACTAGATATTCTTCAAGACACTTCTATACAGCTTAAAGTGACATTTAAAGGCTTCACTAGGGTAATTAGGTGAACTAGGCAGGTTAGGGTAATTAGGCAAGTTATTGTATAATGATGGTTTGTTCTGCAGATTATCGAAAAAAAATATTCTAGATATATTTTATTCTAGCCGAAATAAAACAAATAAGACTTTCTCCAGAAGAAAAAATATTATCAGACATACTGTAAAAGTTTCCTTGCTCTGTTAAACATTATTGAGGAAATATTTAAAAAGAAAAAAATTTAAGGGGGCTAATAATTCTGACTTTAACTGTATATATACAAACATACATACATATACACAAAGTAGTCAACACCTAAAGTGGATCAGTTCTAAAACTGTTGAACAACAAATAAGTAAAATGAATATTAAGTAGGTGGTGCGAGTCCCTGTTATAATGTTTCATTCATTCAATCGATTCAATCAAAAAGGCTGATTCATTCCCAAATGAAGCAAAGGACTCAAACTAGACTCACTCAGCAAGGACACAGTGCTGTGGTTTTCTTTAATACACAAATGTTCTGTTCAAGTACAGCGGTGGTTAGCACTGTCGCCTCACAGCAAGTAGGTCACTGTTTCGAGTTACAGCCAGGCCAGTCGTCATTTGTGAGTGTAGTTTGCATGGTCTCCTCAAATTGGCGTGGGTTTCCTCTAGGTACTCCGGTTTCTTCAACAGTCCAAACACATGCGCTATAGGGGAACTGCTGAACTAAATCGGCCGAAGTGTATGAGTGTAAATAAGTGTGAATGGGTGTTTCCCAGTACTGGGTTGCAGCTTGAAGGGTATCCACTGCGTAAAACATATGCTGGAATAGTCGGTGGTTCATTCCGCTGTGGTGACCCCTGATAAATAAAGGACTAAGCCGAATGACTGAAGTAAAGTTTGTGTGAAATGTAACCCCCTCACAAACATTACACTAATACATGTGCTGACATCTGGATAAAACGCCACTCGTTTCTGTATCTCGCAAAACTTATTAAGGGATTTGTTTGGTTTATATTTGATTTTATTGTCTTTATGTTGGTCAATGCACCAATATTTGCCTGACCGGCCTGAAAGCATTGACGAATCTATTCCAGATTGGTGAAAAAGATGATTTAAATAAGCCGTAAATCTGACCTTAAATCAAATATGAAGACATTCTGCTTGTCATTCAGCGAATTTCATAATGTTTAATTAACCACAATGAAAACAGTGAACACCGTGAACTCAAACTCTCCCGAAGACCTATTTAATGCCCAAATTTAAGATGCAAATCTCTCCTAAATATTGCCAGCTTTCTCCAAAAAGCAGATGGTGCATTCAGACACGTTGGCCATGTTATGCAAAACACAAACCTGCTTAAAAAGAGTAGACTGTCAATGAACAATAGCGTAAAACTGTGTTTATCCCGCACTCGAAACATGGGAGCGCTGAAATCTAATGTTATGACACTTCAGTGGAATGTTTTTCTCTCATGGAGAAAGTCATTCAGCTCTGAACTCTCCTTTGCTTTCTCAGTGTTGAGCGACATGATGTTGAGTAAATGATAAAGCCGGACGATTTTCTTGACAGAAAGCAGATAATTACGCCACAAACCGTGACGTTCAGCTCCATTCAGTCGCTCGGTGATGGAAAAAAGACACTATTTTGCTCGGGTAGCCATTGTTTTGTTCGACAAAAGAACAGATAATTAGCAGGATTATTTCAGAGGACCAACTATTATCGCAAAAGTGTTAGCTAAAGTCTTCGTTTCACTAAAGGCAGATCATTAAATCTGTCCGCAGTGTGCTGCTGGCTGGAGCTCAGATGGCTCGTCTCCAATTATCTCTCTAAAATACGGTCTGGCTCGACGTGTTTACATCCCGCTGTAATGAAATCAGTGCGACCACAAAGAGCAGCGTTTGATCCGAGCAAATAATGTTAAAATTTGACCTCTTCCAACCCGCTTGCTGCTCATCTGAAGGTCAGAGCGGACGCTCCAATCAGACTTTACCCAGTAATCTGGACGCACACAATAGAGAAGCAACGGGGACCCCCCGTCATTTAAGACCAATTATGTCAAATCAGCTTTGTCTGCAGTAACCGACTTGAAATAAACTTCTCAATGTGGGCCTGTAAACACAGAAAACACAAAGCGGTGAACATGTTTCTGTGCATTAGCCATGCTGTAATCCCCTGCGTTTACTGAACAAATCCACCCATTTCAGAAGTATTTAGGCCAAAGCTCTGCCTCTGCTATCAGGATATATTTCATCCGCTGTAGCGCCGTAATGATGACAAACAGGCTTTTCTGTATGGTGGATGTAAGAGACAGCACAGGTTTACTGCGATCCTGAGTCCTGATGTATGGCGGTTTTGGAAAGTGCACGTGTCCGGTGCGTCTAACTTATGTTCACGGATTCCTCGAAAGAAAACATTCAAGATAAGAGTTCAAAAGTCTGCTGAAACTCATTTTCCGTCCTGCAGTGTTTTGTTTGTCGGTCTTCGAGACGTTCTCGTCTTGTTTTTGTGTTACTGAACCAAAGCTCTCTACAGACTTTATTTTTGTACAATATTCATTTTATAACTTTTTACAAAATAAAATCTCGTTTCTATCATGCTTCCGTGTGTGTGTGTGTGTGTGTTATCAGTGCATGAGGTTTACTAAAGAACAGATAGGAGTACAGACAGAAGATAGCCTTTATGAATATATGGGTGCATATAAGAATAGATGGAATGACTAATGAATGGATGAATTGAAGGATGGATGGATGAAGAACAGAACGATGGATGGATGGATGGATAATAGAAGGATGGATTAATGGATAGTTGGATGGATGGATAACAGAAGGATATATGGATGGATGGGTGATGATAGATGACTGGCTAATTGAAGGATAGATGAATAATAGAAGGATGGATGGATAATAAAAGGATATATCAATGGATGGATGATGATGGATGGCTGGATGAATAAGAGATAAATGGATGGATGAAAGAAGGCTGTATTTGTGGATATATAATAAGAGGATGGATTGATAATGGATGAATGAATGGATAATGGACTGATGGATGGATAATAGGAGAACAGATGGAAAATAGAAGGATGGATGAATAGTGGATGGATAGATAATAGATGGATGAATGGACAATAAAAGGACAGATGGATAATAACATGAATAGATAATAGCAGGATGGATGGATAATAGAAAGATTGATATATGAATAATAGAAGGATGAATGGATGGATGAATGGATAATAGAAGAATGGGTAGATAACAGATGGATGGATGGATGGATGGATGGATGGATTGATGGATGGATAATAGAAGCATGGATGAATGGATGGATGGATGGATAGATGGATGGATGGATGAATAATAGAATGATGGATGGATGGATGGATGAATAATAGAATGATGGATGGATGGATGGATGGATGAATAATAGAATGATGGATGGATGGATGGATGAATAATAGAATGATGGATAAATGGATGGATGGATGAATAATAGAATGATGGATGGATGGAGGGATGGATGAATGATAGAATGATTGATGGATAATAGAAGGATGGATGGATAGATTTATAATAGAAGGACATATGGATGGATGGATGGATGGATGGATGGATGGATGGATAAATGGATGGATGGATGATGATGGATGACTGGATAAAAGATGGATGGATAATAGAAGCATGGATGGATGAATAATAGATCAATGGATGCATGGGTGGATAATAGAAGGCTGTACTTACAGATAGAGAATAGAAGGATGGATGGATGGATGGATGAATGGATGGATAAATGGATGAATGATGGATGGATGGATGGATGGATGAATGGATGAATGGATGGATAATAGGAGAATGGATAGAGGGAGTGAGGAAGCGAAGGATGGAGAGAGTGATATATGTCTGAATGGATTGCTGGATAATACAAGGATGGATAGATAATGGATGGATGAATGGATAAATGAACAAATGAATAATAATATGGATAGACAATAGAATGATATGGATGTAATAGAAGGATGGAGAGATGAATGAATAATAGAAGGATGGATGGATGGAAGTGTAGAAGAACAGACAGGAGGACAGGCAGATGAGTTTAATGAATGGATGAATAAAAGGATAGATCGAATGACTGATGAAGTAGAGATCAAGCATTAGAGAATCTCCGACAATTTACTGGATTTAATTCAATTCTGACAGCAGAATATTCCCTCAATTAGCATGAATTATGCTCAGAATTATCAGTGCTGTCAAATGAATATGATCTGAAATATGATTCTTTTTCACTGATCCTGAGATGTGCAATGAATAAAAATTATATAAACAAGATGAATAAATATGAATATACCGTATAAAACATCTATAAAGCTAAAAAAACATCTAAGAGTTTAGAATTTTACATTCAACCAATTTTCTAACTGTACGTGAATGCTCGTATGTGCAGCACTGAGTGCAGAGGATCTTCTGTATGATCAGAGGTATGTCAGCTGGAGTGTAGACGTGCTGAGAGACATTTAGGATGTTGCAGTGGTTTGGAGAGTGGGATCAGTCCTGCTCGGCTGTAATGCATTCCTGAACAGCGGCCCAGGATTCTATGGTAAACAAAAGCTGGTTGTAAAGCCGGAGCCGGGCAGTAAATCTGGGCACTTTCTGGAAATGTTTCCATGGGGTTGAAGAGGCTGCGCTCAACAAGGAGGACGGAGAAGAAGAGGAGCAGACTTATGGACACGATGAGTCGCTTTCGAGAATGACAGAAAGATGGATGGATGGATGGATGGATAGATGGATGGATGGATGGATGGATGGATAGATGGATGGATGAGTGGTTGGATGGATAGA